CAGATCACATGCTTAGCATGCACGAGGTCCTGGGTTCAATCCCCAGCACCTCCTCTAAAAATAAATAATAAACCTAATTACCTCCTCTCACCCCCCAAAAAAAAACCCAAAACAAAACAAAACGAGAATGAAAGTTACTTGCGTAAACAGTTAACATCTTTCTAAATTTATTCCAATACAAATACCGACAGGGAGGAATGAATACCAAGTATTACCTTACTGCTACTTTTTTATTATCTATTAAACCTATAATTTACTGAATTCTACTCTGTGTGGGCACTTAGATTTTACCTGTGAAGAGCTTTATGTGCCTTACTGCACCTAGTCTTTATAGCTATTGTGTGCATTCGCCTATAATGTCCCTGTTAGATGCATGACTAAGCCAAACTCAGAGAGGCTAAGTCACTTTTTCGGGGCCAAGACGGCACATAATGATAGCAGAACTCAGCCTCCTCCAGCCCCACCAACCACCCCCGATCTGCTGAGCTCTGGGGACCGGGGCTCTTACTAACTCTATGAATTTATGTATTTTGAAGTTATGTCATACTGACCCCCCAGAAAGTTTCCTCTGTAAAATTCAACAAGCAGGAAGTAAGTTTCAGAATGGAAACACAGACAAGGGTTGTATACAAATGTGTGTGTTTACGCGCACACACACACATATGTGTATAACTGTATATGTAGTGGGGTTCAATAATGAATAATGCTTTGCGATTATTGCTTTGCAATAAATATTTTGTTTAGTGCGTTTCAATCGCCCCCAGTTGAACAACTTGATGAACTCTTAAAGTGACTGCTACGCTTAACTCATGGTACCCTCTATGCTCAGAATAGTTTCAAAAAAAACAAAGATAAAGAAAATGAGAAAGACTGCACATCATACAGGGAAGAAACATCATCAATTAACTACATGGCAGTTCTTTTTAGGCCAGGTGAGTTAAAAGAGAAAGGACAAGAAGGTACAACAGAATTCTATACATTAAATAAGATACATGGAAACATTTTAAAAGCATGCTGACGGGATCCCAGAAGCTACGCTCTGGGACACAGGTGCCCAGAGGCAGGCCCCCTCCACGGTGACGCGGTCCTGGCGCCCTGCCCCGGAGAGCAGCCTCCTCACCTGAACCACCTGCTGGGCGTTGGCGTCGTTGAGCACCAGTTCAGTGAGGGCCGCGCAGCAGGCTGCAAGGAAAACCACCAAACAGCATGTCTGTCATCGCCGCGGCCGCACTGCTGCAGCTACGTCAAAACCCTAACTGCCTGCCAGGGAGAGTTTTGTTGGCAACAACATGAACTTCCCTTCTGGCTTGGCTCTGGGAGAAAGGAAACTGACTTTCAACGGCTTCTAACTCTCCTCTTGATGTAACTCATGGGCTCGTACACCCCGTGGCAGTCTTTGATTGAGCACTTACTGTGTACCAGGAGGCAGGGACTGCTTCTACCCAGTTCACTGCAACCCCTAGTGCTCAACGTGCCCAGCACTTAGCAAGTGCTCAATACACATCTATGATGTTTCAGTAAATAGCGAGTACTTTAAACATAGTGTCCAAATTAACCCTTACAAGCAGAGTACGAACTACAATTACCAGCGTTACCAAAGCCAAAACTGAGGTTCAGGGAGGTTAATAGACTAGGCCACAGAACTGGTAAGTGGAAGGGGCCAGGCATCCAATCCCAGGCGTCCAGACATCCAGAACGTGGAAGGGGAGGAATGTCTGGTATTGCTAACCTGCGAATCCAACGGTGGTACCAAGACGTTTCAGGCATCCACGTGTATTTAACGTCACAGTTTTTTTTAATGCAAATATTTTAAACTGAAGTGGAGCCAGTTACAATGTGCCAATCTCTGGTGTACAGCACACTGTCCCAGTCATATATATATATATATACACATAATCGTTTTCATATTCTTTTTTGTTAAAACTTATTACAAGATATTGAATATAGTTCCCTGTGCTCCAAAGAAGAAATTTTTTAAATCTATTTTTATATATAGTGGTTAACATTTGCAAATCTTCACATCTTTTAAACTTCACATTTTTTAAAGTTAGACTGGACCTGATTAATATTATCATGATAATCTTATACCAGAACACAAAGTTTAAGCAGCATCTAATAATAAAACATAGTAACATGATACAAATACCTGCTTGCAGAGAGAAAGTATTTTCTTGTATTTCCCGAGGGCTTAAATCTTCCGACAGGTGAAGCTGCTGGATTCGGCCTGCGGCATTGGCACTAGACAGGCTTCCAATGGAAGAACGATCAGAAACAAAATTTCTGTCTCTGAAAAAGAGAAGTTAATGCACAGACCACATTAACCACGTTCCTGCAGGGTCAGTGCTTTCCGGGTCCTGTGTAAACGGGCTTCGTGAAGCGATCTCGGCCTCCCCCGGGACATGAGGACCCTCCTGCGTGGGCGCTATCGTTTGACCCCCAGTCCACCTGGGAGTGATCGTGTGCATGGTGTGAGGCAGCAGTCATCTCCCTGCTCTTTTTCCAACATGGTTACTGAGCCGACGGGCACCGGTCACTGAGAAGCCAGTCCCTCCCCCACGGCTCCACGCGGCCCCCTTTGCTTTGAACTCTACACTCCTGCCAGTTACCTGAATACACCTCTGCCTTCATCATTCTGAGTTTTGTCTTTTCCCCTTACATTCCAATCTTCTTTTATTTTAGGAAAGCTCTCTCCTATTAGATCACAGAGGTTTTTCAAAAATTCCTTGTTTTACTCTCGATTTGAGGGATATCGATGAACCACGTGTTGAAAACCCATCTTCTGCAGGCTGTGTCCTTTGTGTTCCGGTTGCTCTGTTCCTTGGTCTTTTTCCTCTGTGTTGTGTGTGACGTTTCCAGGCGTGCCCTTCCTTCTGCTAATTCCACGTTCCTCCTGGCGCTCAGTTCTGCGGACGTGACCCAGTCCTCACCTTCCTTCCCACCTCTGCAGTACCAGTCTGCTCTCCTTTTAATGGGCCTATCATCTCATCTCTCTTCTCGTTTCATAAATGTCACTTTCTGTTTAATGTCTTTCATGAAACAAAGCATTTGCTTACTCAGGGCAACGACTGTGACCATAGATAATCTGTCTGTCATTATCTGCCTTGTTCCCTTTTGTTCTACATGGTCACCATGCTTTTTTCATTTATTTATCCTTTTTCGTTTTTTTGAAGATATAACACCATTACCTTTAATTTAAAAAATTCTATTTTTTCTGTTTTTTAATTTTTTTAACATTTTTTATTGATTTATAATAATTTTACAATGTTGTGTCAAATTCCAGTGTAGAGCACAATTTTTCAGTTATACGTGAACATATATATATTCATTGTCACAATTTTTTCTCTGTCAGCTACCATATGTGTTTTTTCTCCTTATTCCCAAACCTGCCTATGAATCTACATTTGTGTGTTGGACATAAAGTACACACATTTGAAGACAAAGAGCAAGGGTAATTAGAATAGTCATATTTCACATGTGCTTAATGCTTTATATATATATTATTTATTTTATTTATTTTTTATTTAAGTATAGTCAGTTTAGCTGAAACACTTTGCTGTACCCAGAAATGCTTTACATTTTGTAAGATTCCTTCTCCATCATCTCCTGTTAGCTTCAAAATAATCTCCTGATCAGGTATATAGTAGATAGTATTTTTATCTTCCCTCTTTTACAAACAGAAATCACACTGATTTGTTACTACCCCAAACTCGGTTACAAAGTGACTATAACTAGAATCTTCTGGCACTTAGTAAGGAGACACTTCCATCAGCTGAACTTCAATTCCTAATAGACAAATTTGAAATTTTCATAATATTTGAGATAAGTCTTTACAGATTTGGCAATTCTTTTGGCCTAAATGACTTAAAACTCTAAACATTTAACTTCGCTGTATTGAAAAGTTCATAGAAATAATTTATATTTAAATAAACAATTAAATCTGATTATCAATTTCAAATTGTTTATGTGCATACCTACTTGCTTACCACATCTTTTTATTGAGGTATAGCCAGTTTACAATGTTGTGTCAAGTTCTGGTGGACAGCACACAGCTTCAGTCACACATGAACATACATATACTCATTTTCATATTCTTTTTCACCATAAGCTACTACAAGATATTGAATATCTTTCCCTGTACTATACACTATAAACTTGTTTATTCATTTATTTATCTTTATGGCAGCAGCTCTATGTAGATTTCTGCATGCCCAAACATAACATAGATAGAGTCTCCTTGGCTCCCTCCTGTGTCACCTGGGCCCACTGGACCCCCCCTTTGGCGAACACAGGGAAGGCGGTGGAGCTGGGTCTAGGGATGGTCACAATCAGTGATCGTTCATTACGTTAAAGCTTGAATTTTAGGGATCACTCTACCTGATCAAGAGTATGCAGCCCTTCAGTAACTGCCTTTGGGTTGAGGACTGTAGGTGAATGGCCAGGGACAGGTTTCCAGGAAACCGCCTGACAATAGAGCCTGTTCATACTCAAGCCAGCAGACAACCTGGCAACCTCGCCCCTTAGACCAGCTCCAGGCAGCCCAAACTCTGAAAGGATACTGTTTACCCAGCTGGGGCAATAAATTCTCCCAGAGCACAGAGCCATTCTTAACGTAGAGTAAGTGTTGACATACATCATCTTCCCAGGGAAGAGATGACTAACATTGCACCAGAGACATGGACTGGGAAAACTACTCTTCAGCTGCAAAAGAACTCTCTTCTATCAAGGATAGTTATGGCTTGAACAAAAGGGGAAAATTAGTGCCTTATAGTCAACTCAATTCTATGTGGTCAAAAGGCAGGTTTGCCTTTTGCCTAACTGTCATATAATTTAATTTTACCATCTAGAAAATAGCTGCTCTCCAAGAGGGCTGCCCACAGCAACTGCGACAGGTATGACAGGCCAGTAACAGAAACCACCGCCACCAACATCATCAGCTTGCAAACTCACTCCACATAAAAACCTCTGCAAGCTTAATTATTCTGACTATCAGGCTAGCTTATTATGCCACAACACTAATGAAAGATTTATAATTTCCACTTTAAAGTACTTGAGATTTTTATGTGATACTCATCTAAGCAAGTAGACTGTTGATAGTCTACACGTTTTTCCTTGGTTTTGGTAATGACAGAAATTGTTAACAAAGACACTGCTGACATGTCTACGGTCTGTTCTGATGCTTTGCAATGTTCCCTCAGAGAGAATGGAGCTGGTGACACACAGCTCCACAATATCAAGGTATCGGGCACAACAGGCCCAAAGTCTGAATAGTACTGATTTGATGAGTCATATCAAAATTGGTAAGGTACTCTGCTTTTATGAGAATGAGCTTCATATATATATACTACAGATAAATGTGATCTTTTTCAGGCAGACACGATCCTTTTCAACTCTGATTCAGTACTTAAAGGGATGAATTAAGCTTTATAATAATCTTAGCTAATAGAACCTTCCCACTCATAGTACCAACAGATGCTGTCATTCAATACTTCAATAGACGTAATACATACAATATCTACTATTGTCTTTTTGTTGTTGTTAACAGTTTTTACAACATAAATCAAGAGAATTTCAGTTTGAAACTATTTCAACAAACCATTCCTTCCCAGATGCACGGCTTTGAATGTCACTAGATTCTACTTCTACAAGAGAGGTAAGAAGGCGTCAGCTCACCTTAGACCCTGAGATGGATTAGCAAGAAAAGAGGAGCAAAGGGACCGGAGCCGGGAACATGGCAGTCATTTGATTAACAGGATTTTCTCCCATTCTAACTAGGGACTATACACCTGTTCCCTTAGTGCAGGCTTTGCCTTCCCTTTGTAGCTGAATGACATACATGCACACGCAGACATTGTAGTAAAATGGTAGTAACTATGGTAACTGTTGGGATTGCTATATGCATACACTGATTCAAGAAAAAGGTGGCAAGACAAACATTTCCTTTGGGTTCCTGAGTTTCCATTCAAGCCACATTTGCAGACTGAGAGCCTTCCACTCCTGGCACTGGCCTGGAGGCCGGTGACGCAGAGACAAACACGCAGGCCACAGCCTGCCCTGACTCACCCTCGCAAAACGTGAAGCAGCTGCTTGATGCCTCCCCAGACGCGAATTTCCACACTGGTCTCGGGGTCCTCACAGACCTGAACCAGGATCCAGACGACGCTCCAGAGCAGCTTCAGGTGGTCCGAGTGGAGCAGGCTGAGGAGCACAGGCACCCCCTCGTAGAGTTTCAACTGCTCTTTCACCTGGCGCTCGGCACAGAGCAGGCGCAGCAACTCCGCCGTCAGCCTGCGGGGGGCGCGAGAGTCGGGGTAAGGCTCAGGCCCCGACCTGCCGGTCAGGCTGGGCTGCGATCGCTGCACGGACTAGCAGGCCAGCGTGTTCTAAGCCACAGGTCCGCATACGCTTTCTGTAAAGGGCTGGACCACAGCCAAACGTCTTCAGCTCTGTGGGCCATGCGGTCTCCATCATGACGGCCCAGCCATGCCAACGTGTGCCGAAGCAGCCACAGACAACACGCAGGTATCAACGGGCATGGCCGTGTTCCAATAAATCTTTATTTACAAAAACAGGCAGGGAGCCAAATTTAGCCTGCATGTCACAATTTTCTGATACCACTTTCTAAGACATAGCCTTACTGGATCCCCACTGGTCTGGCTAAAAACCTACTAACCAGCAAATAGGGACCAAGTTCATACAATGGGACCTGCACTGTGCTCGAGACAAAAGAAGTCGAAAAGCTTTACTCCCAGTCTTCAGAAACCTACTATGTGATTGCAAAATTAAGCCATTAATACGTGATGGCAAAAACACTATGATGCAGGGAAATTAAAGGCCAAGCGCTCAGTGAATATCTGGAGAATAAAATGAAAATAATGATGACATAAGACACAAGGTTCAAGTGAGCTCTGGAACCACCCCGTCTACAATGTTATGATGCAACTGATTGTCTGTGTGTCTGTCCACCTGTGCAGAGGCTGGTGGGTGAGTGAATTCCGATAACCAAGTCTACAGGTGTAGTTGGTAAAGAGGGTTAAACTAGCTTAGAAGAAGAATCCAAGGGATTTACTAGGAATTAAATCTCAGTGTTTCATTACTGGGGATTTCTGCTATCTATTTTGCCACTTGAGAAAATCACGACTTATTTGAGTAAATATCAAATGATACAGGTTGCAACTCTGTAACTATCTGGGTACAGTAAGTTTTTAGGGCAACATGTAGCTCAAGTGAAAATGAATTCACTTTACTCTAGATTCTGTTTTGAGTTATAATAACAAATGGTCATGAAATAAGTCAGTAGCTCTTCACATATTTTACTTGCCTTAAGCAAAACAGATTTTAGCAATCTAATCATTTATTCAATACACAATCTGAAATTACTAAAAGTAGAGACATCTTAGTCTCTCTTCTTCAGGCAACAGAATGGAAATAAATGCAATGAACAAAAACATTAATGATTCGATCATAAGATTTATATTATTTCAAATCTATAACCAGTTCAGGAAGTAATGCAGATCCAAAGATAAATCAATGTACCTATTTCCTATTGGTTCCTTTATATAAACTGAAATAGAAAAATAAATGCCAAGCTGACTCATGATATTCAGTTAATAATGTAAATAACATGACATAGTGAAAAACACAATAGTTGCTTTCATCAAATATAAGACATTGTCTGTTTCCCATTAGCAGTCCTACCTTTTGGAAAGCAAATCATATTCATGTAAAATCATCAGAAGATTTTCTACAATGTTGAGTTCACTTATCTTCTCCCTACATTCTGGACTACAAATTGAAAACTATTAGTAACTGCAAAAAATGCATTTTACCATATTTTTCTTTTAATACCGTAACCCTCATATGAAATTCATCCCAGGAGTAGAAACAAAATGCAACCGAGCTCTATGGGGCAGGGCTACATCAAATTCCAACATTCAATAAGTATTATATGTCATCAATTTAAATTTAATAAAAGTATGCTGATAACCTTTGGAGAAAGGGAATTACGTACTATTCACAAAAAAGCAACGATCAGCATTATGCACAGCAGCCACCTCTCCCATCTAAATTGCTACAGCAACAGAACTTATTAAAATGCACTTACCTTTCAGCCAAACTAGCCAGGGCCAGAAGGGCACCCAACAGAACATTAGTATCTCGGGCACTGAGTAAATTTACTAATGTCTGAAAAACGAAGTAAAGTAAGTTTTAATTACGTAAGTACTACAAGCTTGTTGAACAGTATAGTGTTTCCGTCTAAAGATCGTAAAGGCTTAACCTCAAAAAATCTGTTAAACACTCCCGATTCCCAGTTCCTACGGGGGCCGGTGTCCTCCCCCTCCTCAGACCAGCTCCTCGTCACCATTCCTCGCCCAGGACAGGAGGCAAGAGGGGCCGAGGAACACGACTGAGCTGGGAGTCTTCTGCGGCTTATCGGTCACCTTCTCTGAATTCCCATGAATGCAAAGTCATGTGTCATCGCTCCGCGTTTAGAACGCAGAGTCCACTAAACGCACACACCCAAACACGCTTCAGGCCAGAGCTGGGACCCCGGCAACAGCCTCCAGGATGATCTGGGTTTCCGCCATGTGGGTTCTCCCCTTCATGGCTCCATCCTCCCCACTATCTTTCTTCCTCTTCTCTCTCCCTTTTTCTGTCTTCTAACATACTGTTTCCCAAACTTCAGTCACTGACATACCATTTTCCCAACTTGTGTCATGTCTACCCTTGACACCTTAACGCTGCTCAAAAATGTTCTTCAAAGCCTAAGTGATAACACCGGTGAGATACAGAGGTATCGACATAAAAAACGCTGACCCATCTATCACCCAGAATCACCCCCTACAATGAGCGGCATATGTGCACACATTTTAGGCAACCTTGCTCTAGGATATGCTGGCAAGTGGCCTCCTGGGACAGAAGAGCTCAACGAATTACTGAGACCTGGCTCCAGGCAGCTACTGTCTAAATAGCTATGTTATAAACATCAATTCAGTCTGTCTTGATTAAACCTGCATTCAGCCATCTTAAGATACATATTGGACTCATATACCCATCTCATTATAAAGTTAAAACACGTGAAATTGGGCTACAGATCACGGTAATTTCATACGGTTAAAACTAATATATCCACATATGCCAAGTGGAATGTATTTATACATGTATATATGTATTTATTTCTTCATTCATTTATTTGTAACTACACACCTAGGGTCAGCTGATATATACTCAAGGTGTTTCAAGCAATATTTAAATTAAGCAACAAACTTAGTTAAGCAGTAAACAGTTTAATGGCACAGAAAAAAGAGAAATGTTTCAGAAAACCTCTATTTGCTGTTTCTACATTACTCCTTGGGCTGGTAAAGAACATAACAGAGTTAGCAGGGATTTAATTTTAGGCGAGGCCAGCAGGTCTGTGAATGACAATGACACGTGGCTTGACCACGAGGGCTCGGAACCCTAGCATGTGAACCAGCGCCACATGAGACGCCCGCTCCTCCTGGGACCGCTCACCTTGTGGGCTCCACTTGTGGTGACCCATTCTCTTTGGTCTTTGACAGCAGCAAGTTTTTGAAAAATGTCTATAAAAGAAGGAAATATCTCAGTGACGGATCTGAAGCTTAAAGGGGGTTAGTGCTCACAGAACCTCAGGTCTCAAGTTCTGACGGGCAAGCAGAGGACAAAGAGGAACACAGGCAACACGAAAGAGACAAGGGGGCGGGGGGACGGGGGTGGGTTTTTACTCCAAGAATCACCCTTCAAGCTCAACTAGTATTTACCATATTTTTCTGCTGTAATAATGAAATATGGACAGAGCAAAAATCAAATCTTTCCTTCCACTTAAGAGCCAGGTGAGTTCCTCACCATCATTACAAGTTCTAAGTGAAACCTATCCTTCCAAGATCCTCCCCATAAAGATTTCAGGTGATGGGCTTATCAGCAAGTTCCTCAGCTGAGGGGAACGGTTGGCCTGCAAGAACCTTCCTGGTGCCTCACGCTCAGCACAGATTCCTCTCTCCTGCAACTGAGAATCAACGTCCTGTCCTGCAAACACACGGGAAACCAGCCTCCACACACAGAGAAGCGGGCCAGCCCCCACAGCAGCAGGCCTCCACGCTCATCTCATCTGGAGAGACGGGGGGGTGGGCTGGCAGGAGCGTCCGGAGAGAGGGGACGGAGGGTGGCCAGAGCAGCTCCCCCTCGCACAGGGCAGTGTCTCCCATAATCATCACCGTATCAGGGGGTTTGTCTCCTTTTTCACTTTCCGAATGTTCCAGATTTTTGGAAGGAGGTATTGTTAACCCAGCTTGATAGATGAAAACTCAACAGTCTCTGACATTTTAATAGACATCAAAGGAGGCAAAAATATTTTTAGTAAAATTTGCTTTTAGGAAAGGATGTTTCTCTTGCACTAAGATAAGACTGTGCTCAATGAAAATCTTTTTAATTATGAAATTGGGCTTTTCAAGGTAAGTGTTGTGATCTAAAAATCTCCCTCCGGGCACATGTTGCCACCGAGTGTAACAGCCGGTGTGGACTCTCATCCCTCACTGTGTAGGGGACACTCATACATATTCATACATACTTGCCCTGCGGCAAACCCCACTCCCGGAAAGTCGCTGTGTCCCCAGGACAGGCTTACACGTCATGTTGACCAGCTTGTCCACGCTGTGCTGCGCCTCCCCGTGGCTCAGGTACCCGTGGGCCACCATCTCCATGCACTGCAGGAGGGACCAAACCAACAGGCCAGTCAGAAGGGAGGACGGCAGGTGGGGACAAGACTTGCACTTCTGCAAATGGGCGGTAGGTGGCGCAGCGGGTTCACCACACAAAACTCGTGCCCCTGGGCCTGCCTCTCAAGCGCAGAAGCTGGAGGGTTTCTGGGTCCCTTTTCTCCTGAACGCCCTGCAGTGGAGGGAGGGAGCTGGAAAGACTGACAAAACTCTCAAAAGTCCCAAAACAACTCATAACTGAGTAAGTCTGTGTTGTAATTTAGTCCCCAAATGCAAACAAATAAGATGCATAATACATAGTACACAGAATGTTAATTCTTCAATGTACCGTTTTAGTAGAATTTTTATAAGACACTGCATATATTTTTATCGACCTTAGGTTTTATAATAGCCTCAATTATATCTAATCAGCATACAAGCAGAGCGCAATAATCAGAATGAAATGTATGGGGTGTTCTAACAATCCCTGGCTGTGGATTACTGACTATAATAAGAAACATGTTCAGAGAAACGTAAGTAAATTCCTGATACTTTAACGGAAGTAAAGTGAATAAAAAGATCCTTTACAATATAATTTTTATAAAAGACTATTTTATCAAATAAGATAAACCTCTAGCCAATTTTAAAAATTCCTTAAAAATAAAAACTAGATGTTCTAGCAACTTTCCAAGAATAAAAAAAAATTAAATTAAAAATTAAATAAAATAACAAATAATAATTTTTAAAAATTTAAAAAAATAGATTTAACAGTAAATTGCCATTAAACTTCACCATCCATTAATTTCTCAGCACTGAGTTGGCAGGGCCAAAGGTTTATGATGAAAATTATTCTTTCCATACATGGTATAGATTTCAGGAGAATGCACTGTTTCAACTCAATGCCATGCCTGGAAATCTCGTCTGACTGCACTAATAAACCCAAACATTGGACTGGCTCAGCACACTCACTCACCTCATTACCTTCCCTCAGTAGTTACCAAAGCAGAAAAGTAAGTGAAGTCAAGATATCTCCTCACACTGTCATTTATTTTAGCATTTTAGTGAGCGCAGTAATTCTTTGTGTTGTGGGAAAGTTATGAGCATCTCCATAATTTCTCCCATCATTCGGTGTGGGCAATGCTGAGGCCCTGGGCTTGCCAGCCAACACCCATTTATTCACCTTACTAACTAAAGAGAGATGATTTTTCATAGAACTTTCTCGTTTCAACAGGCCGGGTACAGTGAACCCCGTTAGCCAGGAGAAAATGTCCCAAGTCCCTCGCTGCCCTATGAGTGTCCTGTCTCACGCTCACACCTACCTGCCCTGCCTGGTCCTCTCCTTGGTGGGCCACGCAGGTAAGAGAAAGACACCTTCTGTCACACACCTGTGTGATCTCTGCCCCAAGCCATGGCATAAAAAGGAAAGGCAAGGCCAGCCAGTGCAAAAGGAGTCTTACCTGAGCGAGGTTTTCAATCCCACCCAAGCTATGGAGTATTTCCTGATAAAATAAAAACAACACAACAGGTGTGAAAGATGGGAGTGTGTTTCACACACAATTTCTTTATTAAGTCGTAAGTTTATCATTTGTTTTATTTTTTGAAGGTCCCCATTCTAACATAAATATGGAAAACTTTAATGTTTGGCACTCACACTGCATTTAAGATATACTATTAATAAACAGCTAAAAGGACGTAAACCTGCTCAGAGCTGCAGCCTGCCTCCGTGTTCTTTTTACTTCCTCCCATATCACCATAAAATGTTAGAGCTCGAAAGGGCTGGCAGACGTCATTCCCTTCAGATTAGGAAAAGTAAGACCCAGAAAGGTACACCACTTGGCCTCAGTGGCAGAGCCGGGCTAGGCCCCCGGCATCCCTGCAGCCCAGGACCCTCCTCCAGGCGTCCGCACAGTGTGGTCCACGGACCAGCACGAGCAGCATCACAGGAGCTGATCCGAAGTGCAGACGCTCCTACTCACCCCAGACCTGCTGAACGGCCCTGAATTTCAACAAGACCCCCAAGAAATTCGTAGACCCAGTAAATTCTGAGGAACGTTGCTCTAGATTAGACTTGCAGGGCTTCTCAAGACGATCTGGCTAACAGTTTTACGGAGCCCATACCCTCAACAAATACAACAATAATCATTGGAAAATGCCCTCTGATATAGGCTGTTAAAACCAGCTCCCAACAAGAAGGCGCCGCGTGGAACTTCTGAAACTGCCCCAAATTGCGTGTAAGAAAGAGCACGCTGGGAGGCTGGAGTCGTGAAAGGAACTAGCCTGGCGCTCGGCTGATGGCAGACGCCCTCAGGTTACCCACACTGACGTTTGTCTTCGGATAAACATTGTTTCAGGCGGCCCTAACATGTTTAAAGCTGTGTTGACACCTCTCTCCTTACTTCACACGCACACAAGGAAGTTACTTGAAATACAAACATCTGCTGTCACCCCAGGTCTAGTACCAGGGTGACCGCGAGATCCTGTCCTGCCCTGAGGCCGAGGGGGCGCTGGGGAAAGGCCCAGGGGCTCCTGGCCCTCGGGCTCAAGGTTCCCTTATTCTGTGTCAGGTGAATTTGGCAACAACACACCCAGGTGTAAATTAAGAATGAAGGTGCATTTATAACTCAATCAAAAACAGTTCTGTAACCACCTACTCATTTGAATTCCCACGACTGCTAGTCACTTTGCAAGAGTTCTAAGTACAGAACACAAGAATACTGTATACATTATCACTAATTATGGTAGGACATTTTATACATATGAAAATAAACGTAACATTTTAAGATGACTCAAATGTTTTTTCTATCTCTGTTGAGTAAGATCCCAGGGTTAGGACCTGAAGGGGACACAAATATGTAGACGACATTGGCTGACTGCACTGAGCTACAGGGAAGCAGAAGGCAGATATACAGACACTTGGATTTGGTAAGCGTTACAAGAAAGTTGTACAGGAGATGCCTGACACTCCAGAGGAGGGATGTGTAACAAATCCCCTGCTGAGAGGACAAAGGAAAACTTCGTAAGCGTGGCAGCCTCTGCACGCGCTTAGAAGGATGGACAGATTTACTGAGAAGAAATGGGCAAACAGGAAAATAAAGAGAAATCCAAGCAGGCTCAAAGGTCAGAGAAGTTACGTAGAAAGAGCAAGGCGTTCTATCACCCTGAAAAGCAGTTCCATGACTCCACAAAGGGAATTACTGAGAGTAACAGAAAACCAGGGCGAGACCAAACTGGGGGAAGACTTGGATGTGAGCCTGAGTTTGAACTTGGCCAGGCAGACCTGATGAAAACGTGCGACCAAGGGGCTGACAGAATCAGCTGTGAGGACTTCCGTCTAGTCTTGGAACGAACTGGAGGGGAAAGGGGGGTCCCGGAAGCCCTGCGCCCAGCTGGCAGGGGCAGCGGGACGGGCAGTGGAGAGACGGGGCAGGTTCGCAAGTGGAGCAAGCAATGTCAAGACACGAGGACCCGCAGACCTGCTGGGAGCAGGGATGGGAGGAGGAGACGGCATCGCCACCGGTGAGGCAGATGGCGGGAGGCAGGGACACAGTCAACACAGGGAAGGCGAGAGCGACAGGCTGGGTTGGAGGAGCCTCAGGCTCAGACAGGCTAAGCTGCTGGTGGTCTGTCCAAGCGAGAAAAGGCCAGCAGGCCGTGAAAAGTGAGACGAGGGCAGAAGACTGAAAGCTGGCATCGTTGACAGGAAGATTTAAATTTGAAGCTTGGAAGGGAGAAGACACCAGGGAGAGAATAATGTTTAAATGAGGGGTCATGGTCATTTTCAAATGTTTACCTTGGCAAAAATACATGTATCCAGTAGTCAATGTGGACAGTATGGAACCAAGTCCATGTTTCCCAAACCATGCCCTGGGAATAATCATTTTATTCCGGGCACTGGCTGGTACTAGGCATTATATCAGGAAAAAAAAAGATAGTTGATGCCAAGAGCCTGGAAGACAGGAGAGAAGATGACAAAGAAAAGAACTTTGAGGGAGGTTAACACTGAGGAAGGCAGGATTAAGAAGGAGTAGGTAAATACTACAGAAAAGCACAAAACGATGAGGCTCTCGGGATCAGTGAAGGCAAAGAGAAAGCGTGATAAAAGGTGTGGGCGCTATAGAGAGGCTGGGAGTGAACACAGGGCTGAGGTAGGGCCGCTCAGCTCCATGACTGAACGTAATGGAGTTTAGGGGCTTTTAACATCTTTCTCTTTATCTTTGATAAGCAGTGTGCTACGGTGGGTTCACTGAGACGAGGCTACTCCTTGGGATGCCCAATACACTTGCAATCTCTGAACCTACGTCTTCCTTTAATTCCAGAAGACTACGCGATCTTATCTTCCAGAGAGACCTTGGACAGAGGAGGCAGGGAAAAGTTATACAACACGTCAGTCCCCCAAAAGGGGGCTGAGTTCTAGAGATGCAGTCTGAGCTTTCAATGAAAGCAGTAATGAGGGCGAGATGACAGCTGGGTCAAGGGAAGGGCATTTTGGGGCTAAGAGGGAGTAGACAGGGAGCCACGGATACCGTAACACAGAGGAGAGATGGAAGGCCGAACCCGGGCAAGGAGGAGAGACATTTCTTCAGAAACAAGAAGGGCAGTAAAGGTGCACCGTAAGTCCAATGTTTCAAGCAACACAGAACTTAAGAGAGCTCCTGCTGGGATTGGCCTCCGTTTTGCCTGTAACATGGAAAATGTTGCAATCTGATGACAATGACAGGGGTAGGAGGCGTCTGGCTGTGAGGCTGAGATGGTTTGGAACAGCCGCCCATGGCTCCTGCGATGCTGATTCAAAAAGAGAGGAAGAGAATGCCCAGCGAAGGTGAAGCCTTGCCGACACGCGCTGGCGTAGGTTGAAGTAAAACCCAGCGTTGCTTTGTGACTTCAGCCAAAAATTCTTGGCAGCTTAAGATGTTAAACAACTGCTCTTCTTTGTGGAAAGACTGCCAGGAGGAGAGGCTCAGAGAGCATCCCCGTCTATGGAGGGACTGGAAGTCAAGGGGAGATTTGGTTAAATGCGTGTTTCGGTCATAAAAATTCCATAAACAAAGGAGGTCACAGAATTCTTTCCTTTAGAGAGCAATCCAGTCAACTCTGTTCCAGCCCGTCAAGAACCAGATTAAGAAAGGCAGGAGTTTAGAAGATGGCCAGCAGTGGGACACGCGCACCATCAATTTCCAGAGCAAACAGAGCATCTCTAAAGCAAGTATCTTGCTAACTTCTGTAAGTCAAAAAACTAGATCTCCTGCAAAAAACCACCTTCCTTCATGAACACTTTTACTAATGTTATATATACAGTGTTCTTACCCAAACGGAGGCCTGCTGGGGAGCACAAGGGGGCCACTGATACTGAAGTGGGAAGAGCAACACAGACCGGAAGTCCCACCCACTCACCCCAGAGGTAACACCGTGGAAATACACAGGTGTTTTTGTCCCCATCAAATCACTTCTCTCTTATCATTTTAAATAGCAGGTGAGACACCTCCCAAACATGGGAGCTACTGAGTTGTGAGAGAGAAAACAAGTTACCAAGCTCTGTTTCAAACCAAAGCCCGCCAGTTTCTTTCGTCTTTAAACAAGGGGAAAAAAAATTTTTTTTTCAACCAACCTGATAACACGGATCCCTCATGAGCAGCCTCAGACAAATTAACACTCTCAGAAAATGGAGAGACGGGGCTCGATCAACCCACTCTCTGGAAGAAGAAAAGACAGAACATGTTTGTTCACGTTTAAAGACCAGCGTGACAGTTCACGAACAACACAAGACTGAGAGGGCGAATGAAAAACGTCTGGAGGAAGAACAGTAGCTTATCTCAAACAGTCCGCAACGGGGACCCTTATGCGGTATTCGAGGACTTGACCCATTTTAATGCCAAACACACAGAAACTTTCATTATCAATATGAAGTACAGCCCCCCCCCAAGTTATTTGGTTCCCAGGGCCCTGACTGACTCAGGGCAGCCTCTGATCAAAGGAAACAGCTAAAGGGTCCAACTTAACAAGACTTTATACCCTGGTAGCTTGATATCCATGTGAAAAAATAATACGCATCCACTAAGAGAAAATTATTTTTATTTTATTCTTAACCAGGCTTACTTACTAATGAGCTGTGAGCACCTGCAGATGCTACACAACTTCTCCAGCCTTGGGATCAGACCCAGCCCCATTATCTCAGTTTCCTCCTCTCCCTGATTTTGAACCTTGACTGGTTCGCGCTGTGTCTGACAGGTGTTGTGTATCGCTGTTTTCCTTGAAGTTTGAAAATATCCCATGACACCTCTGGGGGGTTCTCTGCGGCCCCCAGGGCACTTCAGTGCTCGTTGTAAGAAACATTGTGATGAAGCATTTTCTTAGATCAGTTTCCCCAGGAGCAGACTCTGAGATGAAGACTGGTGTGCATGTGAGTGATTAAGGACCCGCTCTTGGGGGACTCCCTGGGAGCTGGGGGGCAGAGGGGAGGAGGGGGGGCAGAGGGGAGGAGGGTGGGCAGAAGCCAAGCGGGGCCCTCTGCAGTGTGAGTTGTACCTCGTGTCAGGGGGGCAAGCACTCTGGGCTTTCCTTCACCCAGAACTGCTGTCACAGCAGAGGATGGGGGAGCAAATCCGCAGGCACCAGGGCTCTGTGCCTGCAGGAGAGGGCGGCGCTGCTGCCACTGAGCAGAAAAGCACCACGACCGAAACAGGGAGGAGCGAATAAGAGTTTGGGCAGAGCAGCAGCGTGACTACAGGCTCCACGTGGACCAACAGACAAGCACAGAGATTCATCAGAACAGTCAGTGGAGAAGCTGAATCAGGACAGAGATGGGAGGTGTTTCTACGAACAGTCAAGCATGTAGGCAACTAATGCAACTGGGCCTATTCAGAGAGAAAAAAAAAAACCACTGAACATTCTGCTTCAAATACTGGATATCTCTAATATCCAAAATGGCATCAGCAGGTTTCTGGAGAAATATTTAACTTAAGGTATCACTGCACTGCCACTCAAGGACATACTTTCATACTAGTAACTTCAGAGAGGCTTCCTGTGCTGCGGAGGGGGGCAGACAGAGCCCCGAGGGAGGCTGGAGCCCGAGGCATCCAGAGTCTCCGTCTGATTGTTAGTACGTCTGAAATGGAACCCGTGACGCCCCCATGAGCCTCATCCTCCAGCCGATTAGACCCAAATCTGGGGTGCTGCTCTTGCCTCCTCACTTCCCTCACATCCTTCATCCATCCCCCAACACATCCTGACGGCTCTGCCTGTAAAGCATCTCCCGAGTCCGACCACTTCTCCCCTGTCCGCTAAGGACCCTGGTTCGAGCCACCACCACCTTTTGCTAGAACTTGCAGAGCCTGACACACACTTTGTCCTCACTTCAGCCTTCTCACATCAGCCAAGGGGGTCCCTACTACATATTCCTCAGTCCTCATCCAGGCCCACAAGGCCCTGCAGGACCAGGCCTCGGGCTGCATCTCGGACCCCATCTCCCGCCACGGCCCCTGTCCCCACACCCCCAGCCACACCAACCCCATCACATGGGTTGGCAAGGCTGTGAGCCTGGGCCTCTGCTGCTTCCCATGAAGCAGCCTCCTGTGACTCTGCCACCCCGGAACCTCCCAAACAATTATGCAGATGTCCTCCGACGTGACATGAGGCCAGTCACAAGTAGCTGTTCTAACCGAAGTGCATGTCACGGTGCAGAAGCGGCCAGTGCAGCAGGACTGAACTCCTGCGGTGAGGACCGGGGCTGAGCACCGCCGAGCACAGAGGTGATGGCTGTGTACGCCCCTGCATCACCTGCGGGAGGTGGGCCCTGCCAGGGCACACGTGCTTCACACTGCCCTCCCAGTTAGTCCAACACGGGCACCTGGTGCAAATGTCAACAAAAACTTGAAACAAAATGTGTCTGCTATTCCATACACAGCTAAGAAAAACAGAGGAAGCTAACGGAAGCTGTTTCAGGCTAGAATCCACAGAATTTCTCCCATCCTCTCCCACCTCCACAGCTGAGCTGGCTGTACGCCCAGCAAGGTTCAGACACTTTAAAGATCTGCCCCGCAGTCAAGTGGAGCATTTTCTTGAGCTGTGGTCCCAGGCCAACCTCGCCTGGCTTGTCTCATCAATCAGTCAAGGATCAATATCCTTGACCTCTAGTGGGGAATTCAGCCTTGACTCCTCCACGATCCTGAGAAATTCAACTTGGTCCCAGACCTGAACATCTCAAACCTGAGTGCACAAGGCACACCTCCCTAGGCGGCAGGATCAGCGTCTGTGGTCCCTGTCCCTGGAGGTGCCCCCCACCTACCCCACTGCACCCAAGCCACTGGCTGCTCCTTCCATCCACTAACTTAGCTCATGGGAAGGAACTTGGAAATGTGCTTTTCCCATAGCCTTATATTCCCAAAGAGGTTTCAGTGCTTCTTATAAATTAGAGCCCTCAGCGAGGCCTGGCTCTGCAGGCAAAGGCTGAGCAAGATGTCCCACGAGCATCACTGGTTGAGAATTACTCCTCCTGCCACCACCAGGGCTCCTGGGAGGAGCCGCCGGCCACAGCCGCCCGCCTCCAGCCCGGGCACGCTGACTGTGACCCCCGTGCCTCGGGGGCAACGCTCAGTTTCTTCTGAAAAAAAGAGGCAGGGCTCAACCCAGCCAGGCAGAACTACCCCAGGCCATGCTGGGAAGCTGCACTGGAGTTCATCCTGACTTCCTGACCTTGGGGGAAAACGATGCAGATTTGAAGGACATTCTGAATTTAAAACGATCACCTGTGGGAACCCTGGCAAGTCAGAGGTGGTTATTTGGAGGCTCCCGTTACAGAGAGAACACCTTTCATCCTGTAAGTAGGGAGCGGGCGCATGACCGGTTTCCCCTGCAGGTGCTGGGTCAGCTAAAGATAGCGTGGAGCATGCCGAGTGCGGCACAGACACCACATCCCAAAGACCTAACAGGAATAACCATCCAGTTACAACAGCTGCTGGCGACCTCCTGAGGTTAATCCGGCTCCTCTTCGTTATTTAAGGGGCGAAGCCACGGGACATACTAAGAGTCGACTCATGCTGCAAATATGTGTGCACTTGGGATTTTTCCTGTTCAGTAGATACAATCTGCATGAGGAAATCCATGACCTTCCCAATGTTTTTTCATATTAAAATAAATAGGAAACATTTTTTTGTTTCTCCTCCCCTCTGAAAAAAAAAAAGAATTCCACAAGTTTGTGTTCTATGTCTATGGTTCCCAGCGGGGAGGGGGGTGGGAAGGGACAGACTGGGAGTTCGAAATTTGTAGATACTGACAAGTACATGTAGAATAGATAAACAAGATTATACTGTATAGCACAGGGAAATATATACAAGATCTTGTGTAGCTCACAGCAAAAAAGAATGTGACAATGAATATATGTGTGTTCATGTATGACTGAAAAATTGTGCTCTACACTGGAAATTGACACAATATTGTAAACGACTATAACTCAATTTAAAAAAATTAAAATTAAAAATTAAAATTAAAAAAAGGATTTCAGAATTTTTTTTTAAACTGCTAAAGGAGTGTAAATACATGAAGAGTTCTAGAAAAGTCTCAGAGTTGAAAAGTTCTGTTTCAAGCAAATGGCATTTTTTTGTTGTTTTGCAATTTGGGGACTGTGGCCCAAAGCTATTAATATTTCTCCATGATTCTGGCCTCTGCTGCTGTGAATGTAAATAGAATTCCTGGTGTCCAAGTCCTCCGGGTCCTCCTCCATGAGCACTGAGCTCCCTTCCTGGCTCCCAGCCCTTAACCCCCTGCAAGGACGTGGCTCACTGGGCGGAGCCCTGGTATTCAAAGGGAATGGCATGTCCTGTAAGATGATACAGCGCTGTTTGCCAAGAGCGGGGGGACAAGGAAACACACTGAGTTTAGTGTGAGCAGAGAATTACAGAGACTAACAGTGATGGGTTATAAGGACGAGGGGCCTTTGTCTCGCAACTGTGGCCTGGAGGAGGTTGTGACTGGCCCGAGGCTGCGCACAGGTAACCGAGCTGGGTGCCTGACTCCCCAGCCAGTGCTCTCCCCATGAGTCCCCTCCATCCTCATCCTGACCGAAAGCAAGGAACTCTTAAATACATCTGCCGTGGGGATGGGAGTGTCCAGCACAGTGAAGAGGGGTCCTCTGAGGTCGCGCTGAAAACCCCGTCTGCCGGTGGACAGTGTTTCCTGGATGACGTGTCCCAACACAGCAGCCACCCCGTGGCAGACTCGTGAGCAGGCAGGGATTTATCCCCTCCTACGACTGAACGGCTGCCACCACTTTCACAGGACTGCTCGGACACGGCTGTGTGGCCGGCCCCCACCGCCCTGGCCATGACCACCTGCCGTATCACTTGCAGTGTCGGATACCAGTTTCTGGTACCCATGTAGAAAAGAGAAGGGGAAATGGCACCACCAGAGAAAGGGCAGGCGGAGTCTCACAGTAGAAGACACCGACATGTCATGTGAGCGCTTCATGTAAATGCCAGTCACCAAGTTGCGGTCTGAATACTGAGAGTCACGTGGTCTGGGGTTAATTCCATCCAGGGGCGGATGCAAATGCCAGAGGTGACGACCTCGTCTGTCTCTACCCAGAAAAGGCAGCATCTTCAGAGCAGGTGTTATTTGGAGTGCCCTTTTCATTACAAAACAACAGCAAAAACAGCAAACTGCCACCTTTGACTCAAAATTTAAAAAGTGGAAGAAGTCA